TTTCCAACAACCTTTTGAGAAATTAGCTATATAAGACATAGCTTGTACATGAAATGACAAAATTTGTCCCTAGAGTATTTTACTTACTGCATTTTAATTATTTATTTACATGAAATAAGTTTTGAGACTTGCTTGCATTTTTTTGCTATATTTCAGTATATAGATCACTCAAATTTGGTGTTGAAGAGTCTTCTGAGAACGTAATAGCTGGCACAGCTGCAAAGGGCATTCCTTTTGGGTGTATAGCCAAGTTAGCTTTGTCAGAGACAGAGTTTCTGTTTTGAAAAAATATAATGTAAATACAAATTATAAAAATGTACAACACAAAAATATAAAATCTAAAAATATAATGCAAATATAAAATCTAAAAACATGTAATTAAAACTGTAATATTCTGTTTTGGGAAAAAAAAAAAGATTTAGTGATTTTAAGTTCAAGAGGATACTAGTGAGAGGCTGGTTTGAATGACACTTCGGGAGCCAGACATTTGTAGCCACTCTGAGGATGACCTATTGCCTAGGGTGGTTCCTCCCAGGTCTCAGTGTGGCCATGACAGACACAGCGGAGAAGGGCAGTGACAGGGGACATCACCGTGCCATCTGGTTGCTGGGAATGTCTCAGTGGAGTTGAGTTTGACTGAGGAACACATTGGCTGGGTGTACTGAAGAAGTTAAAACCAGTAAGAGAAAAACCTACATATTCCCATTTTCATTTTGGAGCATGATGGAACAGGTTGACTAGATTTTGAAAAGGTAACTGCAGAGACCATAGGTAAAGTTCATCTCACCAAGTGCTGACATCACGGTGACAGCTTAAATTAGTTTTCTAGAACCACTGGATTGCAGGCAAAGAAAGAGACACTCTAGAATGCAATTATCTGCCTCATCCTAAAGCTGACATCTAAGAAATGTCCCATGGATTGTGCCTTACAAGTATCCATTTCTTGCTACATACTAGATATAGATGCTTAAAGCTTAGTGAGAGGAAAACAATTTCAAGGCACTCAGCTATGGTGAGCTGCTGCTGTCACAATCCAGTCCAGGTTATGCTTACGTGGGGCTTCCTGCCAAAAGTAAAAGCTTATTTTTATAAATATTTGCAAGATGCTGCTAGCAATATTGATGACCTTGCAAAGTTACTACTTACTAGTTGTAAATATTAATTTAAACACAAATGGATTGTGCTTTATTGCATTTTAATACATTCAGAGATTGTTAATATGCAATTAGAGTTATTGCAAGCAAGGAAACTGTAGATAAAATACCATGTTAAACAATTCAAATTGTACAAATGGAAAAATGCCTCCCACAAGCTGTGATGGCCAATCCCTAAAATCTATGATTTAACAGAATATGGCCTAGGATAAAAAGAGTTTAAAAAATGATTTGATCTATGAAGACTAAATCTAATAGACCACAATAAAATTGTGTAACTTTTATTATGATTTATTGAGAAGAATGGGAAGAAATTTCTTTAGCTAACAGCAAACTATTTCAGGTTTCTGCCGGCTCTATTTTGAAGACTACAGATATTTGGAGCTTGCATTTTCTTCCTGCTTTTTAGTGTCCATGGTTGTTGGCAACCTCGACTAGAAGACAGATCACCACAGGCAGAGAAAGTTTCCCATAGCAAATTTGGAATAGTTTGTTGTTTTAGCATGGATAAATATGACTTCTAACATTTTAACAAATTCAAGAATACATGCTAAGGATCTGCACCCTTGGGATCAACTCAAAAGATCCTGAAAGAGAATAGATTATGTTAAGGCTCACACTACAGAAGATGAATTGTCTAAACAGAAGAAATATCTAATTATGTAACAGAGAAGCAAACGTGAAAATCAGCTAGAATGTTACTACTGCCACCAGCTAGACAGACTGGGGAAAAATAATGAACCCTTTATTCAGTTCTTCCAGGGGAGACTATGTCACCGCTCTAAGCATACATTTTGCCAAAGTCCTGTTTACGAAATTCCTTACAAAATTTGGAAATACAAAACTCTTTGGGTAGATTTAGGGGGTGTAGCAGATACTCTGAGTTATGCAAAAGAAAAGATGAGATCTGTGTAATGTGTATTAACTATGAGAGACAAATTTACAATTTGAACAAAGAAAACAGGTTACCTATTGAATGACTCCTAAGATTAATGCATCATACAAAAATATAAAGAAGGACAACAATGTTTTAACTGAAAACAAGTTTATAAAATAATAAATCTAGGAAAAGGGATCTTTTAAAAATTCAATTAAATATTAACCAGCAATAAATCAATATTGATTCAATAGCTGCAGCTTCATTAAGTTATTTCTTCAAACGGTGGATTTTGTGACCCATGTCTATTAGTGTACCACGATTTTTTTATACACTTGGCAGCTCTCAATTAGTGGCTACATAAAAAGCAGCACTTACAGGGATTCTGAGCAAGTGCATTGCCTCTTCCAGCGCATCATATTGACAAACAAACGCCACATCCCACATTCAACATCTCACTCTCAGCTGAGGCTTCAACCCACCCGCAGCCACGCTGTTTTAAATGGGAAAGGTCCCGACACCGAGAAATCACTCAGAATGTCCCAGCAAAAATGAGGTTAAAGAGAAAACAGCAACAATGGTGAAGTTGGTGTGGGCTTCTTAATTGCTTAAAACATTGCTATGGTTGGGTGTAGCGCACTGCTACATGTAAAGATTTTGCTTTATGTTCAATAGACTTGAGGATTAGGTGTTAAATTTTACATTTATTATTTAAACAATTGAAACTATTCATGTAATAACTCCTGTTCCATAGAAGAACTTAATAATGATCATAAACAAGTAAAATCAATACAGATTTCTGATCTACAGTTAGTATTATGTGACCACGATTTCAGTTTTTATTTAAATAATACAGTAATTTTAAGTTTTAAATGTTTGAATCTCCCCATAAAAAGAGACTGATTAAAAATGGGCAATAACAGCTCTACCATGTCACTGAATTTATGACCTGCTGATACTATTGAAATATTTTAATTCTGCAGAGAAGTAGGCAGAGAAAGTGTATATTTACGATACCTCTTTGACATAAATAAGTTGCAGGTGTGTTAATATGTAGAAAATACCATATTACCCAGAAAGATGGTAATAAACATATTTGTTCAAAAAGAAAATAAAGGCAAGTTATTTCTATAAATCTCAAATAGCTGTGTTGGTTGCTAGGCTTTTTGATTAATAGTGGAGGGCAAGGGTGAGTTACCACATTAATATAAACCTGGTAATACTTTGATAACTCGCTGATGCAAGTGGGAATAAGATGCTTTGCGTTGCCAATGAGAGTTATGCCCTAATGTATTAATCAATCTGGTTAAGAGCAGCTTAGAAACTGAAATGGAAAGTAGAAAAAAAAGTACAAAATCCTTATTTAAGGGATGGTTCTTTGGAGTTTTTCACAGCAAGTGATTTCTTGACATGACTTTTGCCAAGATGTGTCAAGAAAAGCAACCGCTTTCATTTTAGTCCTACAGAATAATAACTATATCTTGATTTCTGCCTAAGTAAGCAATGGGCTTTCTGTAAAAGCTTGATTTTGTTCAGTTATAACATCAATAACTGGGCCCTGACCAATCTCACTCTAATCTGACCGTCAACACGCATAATTTGAAGAGTTGGCTCAAGGCCTTTCAGCACAGAAGACACAAGTGAATCCCGCTCCCATGAGCGTGAGCGACTGGGGTCTGGTTGCCTTTACCATGAGCGAGGAAAGGCAGAGGCTGAACGAGGGAGACAGACCCGAGATACACAAGACTGCTCAAAATATGATTCTTTTTGATGTCATTTAAGTGTGGCTGTCCTTCAAGGGGCACTGGATGGAGGAGAAGGTGGTATCTCATGCTTCTAGGAGCAACCAGCTGATACCCTCGGTGACCACCAGCCCTCAAAACTCTTTTCCTCCTCTGGCAGCTTGCTGCCTTAGGCTACTGCCTGCTTTGCCTGTGCCTACAGCCCACCAGGTTAATATGTGTCAACATCTTGCAACTGTCACTTGATTGTCTTTCTCTGAATAGACGAACTTTAATATCTTGCAAGCATGCAACAAAATCTTGACAGAAATAGCTGAAATAATAAAAATAATAAGCCATAAGCACACATAATTTAAGACAAGTTTTATTTAACTGAAATGAGATCCAGTTACCTGTGTATGTGATGGTGGGAGGCCTTTTCTGCCATAGATGCCAACCAGAGCTGCCTTTCCTAAAGACACATTGAATTTCAGATGCACTGGGTGGTCGATGAACACCTGAGATCTCCAAAAGATACCAGGAGGGATCTTCTGCGTGGCTCGTCTGCCAACATCAATTTCTCCAGAGTCTATAAAAGTGTCGTCTGGAAAGAAACTACTGGGCTTTCCTGCCAAAACACAGGAACAAAAATCTTGGATTAGCCTTAGCCCCTGCAAGTAATCTGGTCACACTGGTATCTCTGACACTGATCTTGAGAAACAGTCTATTAGTGTCCTGAGGTCTTCAGAGTGCTTTGTGTAGCCAGTCCACATGATTACGGGAGCAAAACTGGCAGGGTTATTCCTGGCTTCAATAACTGTTTTCTTTGAAAACACGAACGTGGGAAGAGCAACCTGAGGAAAAATGGCCTTTTGTTTAATTGTAGTATCGGAGAGTGTGTAATCACATTCTGGAGATAAGAATAAATCATCTGATATTATATCCTAAGTGAATATAAGTTCATTGATGGAGAAGTCATTATTAAATTAGCAAAGAGAAGTGTAGTAATAGTGAGGCAGACGTGTCACAGAATGGAATGGCAGTGTGGAGAATAGCAACATGAACAATGCCTACGTGGGGAAAGGAAAATGTATCTCTATTAAATTAATTCTTGACAGTGGGAACAGTATTTGAAATTTGTTCCACAGTCCAAAAAAATACTGAGCAAAATGAAGGAAATCATACCCTGCACTTGAGCAATATCTACTAAGAAACACGAGAAATTTTAACTGGGTTTCAATGCAATCTGTAAAGTGTGTTATGAGTCTCCATCTTCCTTCAGAAGACAAGCAAATGGCAGCATCTGTTCCTTAAAGCGACCACCAGGTTAGAGAGCCTGGGCGTCCGGACGGCAACCAGTACCTGCCACAATGTCCAAGGGAGTCAGCAGGGAGCTCGGCGTCCCTGGAAAACACATCTGAGAAATTGCAGGTTAGAAATTCATACGCTCACAGCTCTCAAAACTGGTGACTGCTTTCAAAAATTTGGACCCAGAGGAAGGCCAGGGAATGAGGGGCAGAATGCAAAATAAAACCCCAGAACGCTGCCTTTTCAGTCTTTGCTATAAGCAGCGGTCACAGCTTCACCCGCAGTGCATAAAGGCGATGAAGAAGGCAGCTGCTTAGCAAACAGCCTTTATTTAGGGACACTTCTAGTTGAAAAGTAAGCAGTAGTGTCACTTGAAAGGTTTTGGCTTTAGTAAGGAGAGTATCATGTCACCAACAAGGACTAATTATTCATTGTAGAAATTCAAATAAATATGCTATCTCCGTGCCATTATAGCATGCTACTCTGTGCTTCACACATGAAGCAACTCTAACCAAATGAGAAGGAAATGTTCAGGAAGATACAATCTTTTGTAGGAAAATCACATTGGGGGAATTTTTTCTTGCAGAACCTACATTTGGGAAATGGGAAGAAAAAATACATTTTCCCACCCATCATGAATTCAAGTCAACTAATCTTAGAATTTAGTTGTCACGTTGAAAAGGTGATTGGTATAACAACCTATCATTTAATTGTTCCTAATTATTTCCTTTAATATTATATAATATTAATTACAATATTTCCTTAAACTTCTCCATATACCATCCCAACATGAACTCTCCAGGAGAAACAGATGTAAATTGTTAGCTGTCTCTGAAAATCCACATAGAAATTATATGCATATTAACTGTTAACAAAAGAAGTCTCTGAAGGTGTTTCTTTCTAGGATGGAGAAGAATGGAGATTTTTTTTTTTTTCTTATATATGTAAATCTTTTTGGCAGAATTTTTGTTCCAAATCAGACTAATCCAGGATTTAAAGTTAGCAACTGCTTATGTATACTGTTGGAGTGGGAACTGCTGGCCTGTTTCATTCCTGTGCTATCTCATGGCAGAAGTTTTATGCAGACCAGCACTGTCTAGAAAGCAAAGGGTATATACATGTTCATAGAAAAAAAGCCACTGATAATTTTATAAGATCCTTATTTATCTTTGTTCATCACAATCAGATAAATACAGGGGGAAAATCTGCTGACTTTTTATCCTTTTTTAGTCAAAGTGTATATTAGTAGAGATAACCAGAAGCAGCTTACGTAAATGGACATTCTTTCCGAATCATTTTGTTCTGATAGAGTACAATTGTATAATGAAAAACAACTAGCTTGATTCCGAAGGGGATTACGTTATCAACTGGATTGTTAATATTTATTTGGCATTCTACAAATTACTTTCCCCACTGTCAGGATTAAAGGAAACAGTTCCCATACTTTCATGCAAAGTTTCTTATTTCATTATTGTAAGATGAAAAGATTCAGGATTCCGTTAAAAAAGAGCTAAAGTCATCACATGTTTTGGTTCAAATGAAGGATATATTTGTCTGATTACTACTGACATATTTTATAGATTCTCAGAAATTCAGATGAAAACCTAAAGTATTTGATATGCACCCTGGTTGTTCATTAATAAAGACTGCACATCGGGGTGAATCGGGGAAGGTGAGAATTGGATGTGATTGACAGATGTTGCTACGCAAGAGCGAGCCTGGAGCAAATGAGCACAGTCTGTATTCTGCCTGTGCGGAGAGCAGCGCGTGCTCATGCGAGCAAAAATGCTTCTGTGATTGCAAAAGACAATTTCACAGAAATAATTGTTTGTACACACAGTTACAAAGTTTATGTCTCCTCTTGGTGGACAGTCGTATGTCTGGGAGGCTGACACCCTAAGAGCTGCTATACTGTGTTGCCAGCGGCTGACGTTTATCCTGATGCAGAAGTCCAAAGCAAGGCTCTCCTCCCCAGGCTGGAATTCAGTCCCTGAAATCAATCCATGTTTCACTGCTTTTAGCCTGCACTACGATCAGGCCCTGTGGACTGGATACTCCACAAAGAAAGTACAACAAGAAAGACATTTCAGCTTCTAATCAGAAAATGGGTTTTAATCAGAATATCTGACTCCTTGAAATTAACTTCAGGTCTAAATTCTTAATTGGGCTGTCAATTACTTTGCTATTTCCACAGATCACCTTGAACTTTTTTGTTGCCGTAGTAACTGTTCTTAATTTATTTGGATATCAAAATGAACTCTTTCATTTCAGCCCTTGCTGATTCCTTGTATTGTTGATAGCAAGGTACCCTGACTCATCAAAACACTTAAGAACACACTTGTATTTCTCTGCCTTCAATCGCAGTTAATTGCATGCTTAAACGTAAGCATGTGATTAAGCACTTTGCTAAACAGGGATGGGCTTAAACAGAGGTAAACGCTGTGCTGGAGCACAGCCACAGATGAGGAGGAACAACCATCACTGAGAATCGACAAGATGTTGGTAATGATTCACTCAGCTCAGCTGTAAGGATATTCTAACACATTCCAGCCTATTTCACTGTGATCAAGAAGACTTTCAAATATGTTTCAATACGTTTTAATAAATTTCAATCACCTACTTCTGGTTTAGAATAGGAGCCATACAATGCTGCTAGCCCAGAACTAGTTGCCTAGTCACCTGATGGGGAGAGAGATGCATTTTCAGGCTGGGCAGTGTTACTCCTGCAATACAGATGTCGTGCTGATATGTTTTTTAGGCAGGACAAGATATTCCCCTCTGAAGCCTAGAAAATCCCTAAGATCTATTGAAGCACTACCTTGAGGGGTCTCCTAACAACATAACTAGGGTATTTCCCAGGTTTTTCATTTATCGGAGCTTTTTGGCAGCAATCGAAACTTCTACTGATGTCACTGTAAGCACGGCTGAAAAAGAAATCAAGTGGAGGTCTTTGATTTGGATGGCAGTTTTGGACACATCCATTTATTTTCATTTTGACTTTTAAAAGGAAACAGATCAAAACTAGATGTTTCAAAAATGAAACATATGGCAAGTCAGCAAGGAAACAAGAAGGATCTGTCATGATGTATTTTTGAATACAACAGCAGGGATATCTGCGGCTTGCTGTACGGTCTCGTAAAGGTTTGCTGAGAATAATCTGCTTAGCTGATTTTTCCTTGTAGCAACTTGATGTCAGCCATCAGCTGCTAGTAATACACTGTTTTAAGGAATGCACATAATTATGGACTTTATTTGGACTAATGAAGACAGATAAGCCCTTAAAGAAAAATACTAAAATTAATTTAAATTAAACATGTAAAATAGGCTCTCAGCCAAAGTCTAGCAAACTCTGTGGAAACTTTTGAATTCAAGGAGTTGCCAAAACAGTAGCATACTTCTCATCTCTTACCCACAAAAATTCCTCCCCCAAAATAATTAGCAAAAATAGCCAATGACTTCAATTTTACTGGAATCTGTTCACCTTGTATGAAGAAGCTTGACACACAAACAAAAGAGCTTTCTGAAAATTTGAATTTCTCATCTCTCCAGCTAAGTCTTGGGAGGGATAAAACACCTCTCCTTCGCAGAGCTTACAGGTACTTTTGGCAGTGCTGCCTCTATAGAAAGCACAGCGAGATGTAAAGCTGCTGAACTGACAAACCAGCAGTTGCTTCTAATTTCACTTAAAATTGCAACCTGTTGACATCGTGGTGCTTTGTGGAGACCAGGCCTTTTATCTGGCTACTTTTGCAAAAAGATGTCCAACTCTGGAGTGCCAAAACTCACAGCGTAATAGCTCTCAGTAAATATTTTTGTCCTCAAAACATTTGGTACTAGGTGGCAATGAGTAGGCAAACCCAAACATTTTTGTACTGATGTAGAGAAAACTTGACCCAATGCTCCAGGAATCATTAAATTTTCAAGACACAACTTTTTCCCATGAAAACAGCCACTCAAGGCAGGGTTTTCATGATGGCCTTGTATAGCCTGTGAGATATGGTACAGATGGTTCCACCTGGAGAATGTCTTAAATGCGCGATGAAGGTTGCACACAGTTTTATTGCATTAGTGGATATCAGAAGGGAATGAAACTTAGAAACATATGGAAACAAGACTGATGACTACTAGTTCTAGATGTGAAAGTCTGGAAAAAGCACCTGATGATGGCAGCATTGAGGATAATGGAACATGAGATTGGATGGCTGGAGTTCAGAGGCAGACAGAAGACTCACAACATGGACACACACCAACCATACCTTCACTGGTTCCTTTGCCTTTCCTGTCAGGTAACTCTAACCCTGTGCCCCCTGAAGAAGGATATAAGGAGACGTCCGTTGGCACTGGCCAACTGCTGGCTGTGTCTTCCGTGATTTCATACATCTGCCCTTCCATCGGCTGCAGGTGCCAGTTTAGGCCAAACAGGTGCATGGCTGTGGTGAGCAATGAGAAAAGTCATCTTTTTCTGTTTGGGAGAGTTTCAGAACCACACGGGCACTTTCTAAACCCTATCTCCACTGCCTTATTAGTGGTCCTTATTTTAGGACAAGAATGGGATTCATGTAATTAGACAGCCCCTGCTGCTTCTACCATACCAACTCCCTAGGTCCTTCCACCCACCTAAACTCATTTCAGATCACCTGTACCAACCCACTCGGCTTCTTGCAGTAGAAGCACTCTTGATTGGTGGCCTGTGTGAGAGAATAACCAGTCACAGTGTTTCAGAAAGCTCCCAAGGCTGGGTTGACGATGTGGTGAACACAGAAATATAAGGAGTATTACTTATCAACACACCAATAAACCCCAGGGAACTGCACTTTGGTTTTTTTGCTGTATTCCTAACGCATTACATAGTTTGTCTGGGTTTTTGTATGCACCAATTATGCACAGAGGCTCTTATAGACATCTCTGACAGTTTTTCCTGAATAACACCAAGTAAAAACTAAGGCCATTTAAGATCCATCTTGCACACACGCCTTTATGATCAGCACCACAAATGTGAGTGACTGAGTGCTCCTTAGTACAACTCAGCGTCTCCGATTCAGATCAAAGACACATCCTTGTGATCTGAAAACAAGCAGCACCATTTAGATTTGTGTGATATCAGGGCATAGCTCTCTGTAGTTTTCTGGCCCATGCAAAGTCATCCAGTGCACATAAGAATCTATTTCAAGGCATTACATAAAGACAGGTGAAGTTAAGGAACAAGACTGAATACTTAAAAAACAAACACATGTAAGAGGAGTATGGAAAATCATATGCTTATACACCTCATACTCGCCCCTTGAAAATAAAAAGCAAAAGAACGTGGCTTCCCGTATCGGTTCTTCCGTCCCCAACATAAACATTTCATCCTCCATCAGTATCCAGTTTAGCTTCAGGCTCTACACAGCTAAATGATCTGATATTTGCTACACTTGGAACGACATTTCTTTTTTAAGGGAATACCTTGATATTTTACGCTATAATTTCTCCAGGAAACTGCACAATGACACTAGCATCACAGCCACCTACCATAAACAAACCAGTAAAGAGACAGAGCATTTCCATTGCCTACAATTCTCATTTTATTCACAAAGATACATCTGAGCTTGGCAAACACTACTGGGGACAAGTGGTTAGTCTATTTAAACCTGTGCATCAGGACCAATCTTTTCAAGCAGAATGAAAAGTAATCTGAATAGTTCTCTAAAAACCGCATGTTTAGGTAATTTAGCAAAATCAGTGATTTCTTCCACTTCAGTCTCATTTAGGTCACCTATCATTTACTAACAAGAATAAGGTTGTCCTTGTACTACTGCAACATCACAAAACACAACGAGAGCAAAACACTACTTTTACCATGTAAGTGGGGACTGGGTTTGTTAACAAAGTCTTAATCATTAAGAATGAAAATACTCTCCTGAAGCTCCCAAACAGCGAGGAAGCACCACAAGGAAGGTCTCCCGAGGACCTGTTCAAAACTCGAAGATTTTTATACAGGCACACGCACCAAGAAAGAACGCCACCAACACAACTGGTAATTCAAACAGGATGTCTTAGGCAAAGGGGCCAGTAGTTTCATCTGAAAGGAGCAGATTTGCTTGGTGGAGAAACTGTTCAAGGGAAGAGAGGAAATCAGCTTTGGAGCAAGGAATTTGCATCAAGTATTTGACATTGCTATGTTTGCACAGTATCTTTGTGTTTACACGGCCCTCCTCATCAGTGCCACGACACTTCATAGCTATTCATCACGTAAAACCTCATCAGGTAGGAATCTGTTATTTCTGCTTTACAGAAAGGAAAAAGAGAAATACAGTCGATTAAAGGACTGACTCAGTTCACTTGTTCGGGCATTAAAATGTGATTGCATGTCAATTCACTTCCTCTGTGCTCGTAGGTTCACAACAGGCATTTTCTGCACCCTTCCGCCAGCAGTTTTCATGCTGAGCTCAGCACTGGGTGCTGCCTGAGAATGCCATCCAGACTGGAGCTCTCCATGGACCGGAGCGTTGCCCTGGTGCTGCTGAGCCATTACAGAGCTCAGAAGCTTAGGTGCTTTCAGCATGGGTAAGTTCCCATGTTTAACCATATGGATGTTTGTACTTCAAAGCAGAATGAAAACTGTGCTATTCGCTCCTCCAAGCTCAGGCAACCCTCGGCAGCAAGCAGCCTGGATGCTTCTGCTAGCCCTAAATGCTTAATCCCAACTCCATCTACCAGATGTCTTCATACTACAATGACTTGCATGAGCTTACACTGGGCATCACTACTGCAGGCAGGAACGGAGCCAGTGGGGTTTTTTTTCCACTAGACCATTTGAATTGCTCTGTCCTTTGGATATCACAGTCTAAGTGCCACATAATAGCCTGAAAGGCTACTGTTTCCCATCCTCTCCTTAGGAGGAATTTGTTGCTTGTAAGAAAATGGAGGTGAAGGACTCCGCATTGGTTTGGGTGTAGTGGGAAAGCTATGAGCATTTATTCCAGGCATGTAAAACGCATTTAAAAACACCTGAGAGGAAATGTCTTAGAAAGGGAACGTCTTGCTTAAGCGTAACAATAGGACTGGTAGCCTGGAAGTGCTACGGCTTTTCTGCACACTATCCATCCCCTTGAGCAAGTGCATCAGCCATTCCATGTCACCATTCATTCCTAAACATTTGCAAAGTGTCTTACAATGTGCCAACATAGAAAATACAACAGAACTATCTGCAACATAGATACTGTGTTATCGTAAAGAGATAAAAAGCTTGCACTAATATGTTAACTTTTGGCTTTGGTTAATAGATTTTGTCTAAAGCCAAAAGCTTCTTATGTACATTCATCCCATCATCACATAGACCATAGAATCAAAGAATTACAGAATGGTTTGGGTTGGAAAGGACCTTAAAGACCATCTCGTTCCACCCTCCCTGCCATGGGCAGGGACACCTTCCACCAGACCAGGGTCCTCAAAGCCCCGTCCAACCTGGCCTTGAACACAGCCAGGGAGGGGGACGCCACAGCTTCTCTGGGCAACCTGGGCCAGGGCTTAACCACCCTCAGAGTAAAGAATTCCTTATATCCAATCTAAATCTACCCTCTTTTTATTTAAAACCTTTACCCCCTGTGCTTCACTCCTGACCCTGGTAAAAAGTCTCTCTCCATCTTTCTCATAAGCCCCCTTTAAGCATTGAAAGGCTGTAAGAAGGTGTCCAATGATGACCCATGAAAAGGAGATCTATGCACACCATGCATACAAAAGCACAAAAATCTGAGCAACACAGAGAATTTTTTGAAAAGCATTTTGAAGACTAAGGGGCTTAAAAAGAATTCAGAAAACGGAGTGCAAAGACTTGGAGCTAGTGCTCTACTCAGGGTTTCTGATTTGATGCTTCTAAGCACAAAATGAAAGCCTGTAAATATTCCCACCCATAAGGCAAACAGACATCACACAATTTCTGCTGCAGGCAGGTTAACAGCCACAAAACCCTTCCTGAAACCAGAACAAAGGGTCTGCTTTACTTTGGAAGCATACTCTGGGAGAAGGTATGTTATTAGGAAATCACCTGATTAAGTGTTTATCATTACTATCTTCCAAACACCAATAGGGTCTGGCAAGCTAGTTCTGCTTGCTCCCCCTAATTGCCATATTCACACTAAAAAGTAGTAACAACCGTGGATGTTTTGGGTCTCGACATCTCAGTGGGATGTGTAAAACTGTTGATGCACACTGTTGTTTAAAGGTTTTAGGAGAGGCACAAATCAACCTTGTTGTGTGCTAAATTGATGCAAAGTTCTTTCTTGTGGAAAAAAAAGAAGAAAACCCAAACAATCGTAATCAGGGAAAAACCCTGGAACCATGGGTGAGAGGCACAATGACATACTTTGAAGTGTTAATGTTCCTAAAAGCAAAGTGAAGCTGTAAAAATAGTTTGAGATTCCTGATGTTCTCAGTCTCCAGGTCAATTGAAACCACTGTTGACATTTTCTCTGTTTTTTTTTTTTTCCTCTGCTCAGCTAGATACAAGAAGTGGCTCACAAAGAGCACATGCCCTCCTAAAAGCCCCCTTGCCCTTCTTTCTCTCCCTCCCCAACATACTGCTCAGCAGATATTCAGATATTGAAGGCTCCCCATGTATTAAAAGAGCACACTGCAATTAACAATCATTAAAGTGTACCCTTTTGTAAAATACCATGTAGCTTTCACTGCCTAGGAAGCCTCATGACATGCTCTTTGCAGAAGCTTCGGTTATATTTCCCATGGCTAACAAAACTATTTTTGTCTGTTTTCTCTTGGAATGGAAACAATACTTAGGGGAAACCCTGCATGTGTCCTCTCTGGGCTGTTTCAGCACCAACAACTTCGATGATATAAAGGCATCTGGGGCCTCTGGCCCATTACACTTGTGTTTTGACACCAAATCTTCGACTTGCACAACCTTGCTCAGTGCTAGCAAAAAGTGCCCTGACACTTGTTGACTAGGTAACTGAATTTTCTGTGGCAGAATAAATCACCTTATCCTCAGTCCTAAGTCACCTCTGGCCACCTTCTTGGTGGGAAAAGAAAGAAGTCAAACTCCAGTGCTTTCAGTGTCCGATTACTCTGCTGAGTTCAGCAGTTCAACCACGGCAGCGTGATGTGGCTATTCATCTGCTGGACTCAGATTCACTTCAGCAAAGCCAATTTGCAAACAGTTTAGCATCAGCTGAGCTGTTTAACCACCCAAATCAATCAAAGTGGTGGAACGAAGTATTCGGGATCATGATTCTTCAGGTTTTAACAAATTATCTCATTCTTTATCACATTATTCCTACTCCACAGCTGTTTGTGCAGGTCACAAGCTATATTAGCTGATGCTATTAAGCCAAATAAAGAGGAACGTTCTTTCAAAGTTTGTTTTGAAGAGACCAAGGCTTTTGGATATCTTTGTATTATTGCCACTTGCTTATGACACAGCAACACTAAAGTC